TAGACCTACCTAAAACCTTTATTACTATTGATCATGGCATTCTTATAAACAAATTAGAACATTACGGTATCACTGGTAAAGTCATATTGTTATTAAAAAGTTACTTAAATAATCGTAAACAATTCATGCATACTGATACACACTCAACAACTACATATTCTTGCATATTCTTACATTTTTAAATTATTACCTACTCCACAAAATATTTTAGGAATTTAATCTGAACAACAATATTTTCAGATTATATATTATTATATATTACCACTACATATATACTGATGAAATTTGTAATTTTTCAAGCTTTTGCTTGCTTTTTTTTCCTTGTTTGTTTGTTTTTGCATAAAATTGAATATTGAGAAATTTTAAAGCATTATTTTATATTATATTATATATATTATGTTATATATATATTTATTATGTTATATATATTCACATATATTATAAAATATTGTTATTACTTGCTTAACATCTGAAGAGTATTATAATATACAAACCCATTTAAAAATTGTCTTAAATATTTGTAAATTTATTTAGTTTTTAAACTCGTGATATAGATTGTAAATGGTTTCATGATAAAATCTTGGGATCTTCTGGAAGTCCTACCAGTTTTCTAAAAACACTCAAAAGAATCAAATAAAAAAGTGGTTTATCTGGAGAAAAAAAAGCGGATTTTTTTTTGTTGGTCACATTACCCCCTAGGACAAAGACCTGGATCCACCACAGGTCTAAAATGCATCATTTACATTCAATTCTTTGCATTATTTAACTTTTATTGAACCAAATAGCTGAGCTGAACCATGTGCTGATTACTTTTCAAGTTCTGATACTTAATCTCTTGATTCACAACTACTGTTTCCCAAGTTAAGAGATGACCAACTGACTTCAAGAAAAAAAGTCCTTAAACAGAGGTTATCTATATTGGCAAATAAAGTTGCCACAAAAAAGGTAAAACATAAAGAGGATTTAAATATTTTGAGAGAAAAAATACGATTAAAGCCATATAGGTTTAATCAAATTAATCAGACTATTGCTCAAAAAGAAATAGCAATTCATCAGCTGCATGAGAAGTTAAATAAAAATTGTTCTAACTTAAATTTAAAGCAACTTCGAAATGGTAATCTTTTTTTGGAAAAGAAACTAGCGTTATCCCAGAACCAGTTGTTTTCTCTAACAGCAATATTACAAAAGCAACTTGTTGACAAAATGCAGAAGTTCAAGTCCCGCAGAATGATATGTCGATATTACATGAGAAATTGCAATCTATAAACAAAACTCAAGAAATTCCAAAAGTTACTCATCAAGTTTAGGGTTCAAATAAACGCCACTGCTACTCCATAAAATTGGAGAATACACAGGATATCGTTTCAGTGATACTTCACACCGCACAACTGTGGAGCAGATGGTGCGTTGACCCGCTGTTATTGCAGACCTACAGACTGCTAAGATTGCATTGTCAACAAATGATCTAATTCAATTAAAATACTTTTGTTATATTAATAGTGATTTAGAGAAGTTAAAGTTAGTTTAATTTAATTTATATTCCAATCCTCGGTGTAATTGCAGACCTTTAGAATGCTGGCATAGCATTGTCAACAAAAGATTTAATTCAATTAAAATGGTTTTGGCGTCGAAATATCCATGTTTGCTCATGGATTTTTCGCCACCAATTTTACACGATTGAACTATCATTATATCTATAATTTTTATGTTATCATTTATATTTAAATATAAAAGATTCATTTTATTTTACTTATCATTGCAAATTTTTGATTCGAAACAGAGAGCTTTAACAAGATAATACAAGATCAATGTTTTAACAAGATTATATACATCTTTGGAATTTTTTCTATTAGGCAGCTAAACTCTTCAAAAAAACCGGCTATTTCCATAAATACACCACACTTTTGTTGCTCTCTTTGAGAATCAAGACAATAGTTCTCTCCAAGACTATTGGTCTCTATAAGACTTTTTTTTATGCTGGTCTAAAAACATTTACATTTTGTATGAATTTTATTTAAAAAAAGTTTTATTTTTCATGTCTAAATGCTTACAAAACGAAGAGGGCAGAAAATGTATGTGTGTGTGTGTGTGTGTGTGTGTGTGTGTGTGTGTGTGTGTGTGTGTGTGTGTGTGTGAGTGAGAGAGTGTGTGTGTGTGCGTTTATATAGACTTTTATTGCTCTATATTTAAATTAAGCAAGAGTATTTTAGATATAACAGTCAATTATAAAAATATGAAACAAACTTGTTAAATTTTGTATATTATCATATATGTAGTATTTAATTTTTGATTATGGTAAAGGTTTAATTAAGTAGTTAATAACTATTTAAATATCTATTTTTAGTTTATTGTTACATTAATTTTCTGTTTACATATTTTTCTTAAAAAAGTCATGAAATATTCATGGAACTTTATAAATTATCTTTTTTTTTCTGCTTGTGATATTTTTATGATGCAAACAAAAGTACTTGTATGTCTAGTCTAAGTCCTTTTTGAAAAATGTTTTTTTTTTATAAATTATCAAAGAAGTATAATAAAAAATATAATAGTATAATATAAAAGTATAATAAAAATATAATAGTATAATATAAAAGTATAATAAAATAATTTTAGAGCTTTCTACCAAATGCTTAGTGTATGGTAAATACTGAATAATTTACTTATTAGTGGTTTATCAAAAAAGTTTATGAAGAGTCACGGAAAATACATGGTAAAACCATGGAATTTCATTCTCAAATTAAAGTGGCCATCCTGTATATGGATATATATATGTATATATAGATTTATATATAGATGTATATATATATATATATATATATATATATATATATATATATATATATATATATATATATATATATATATATATACATATATATATATATATATATATATGTATATATATATATATATATATATATATATATATATATATATATATATATATATATATATATAATATATATATATATATATATATATATATATATATATATATTTATAGATTTATATATTAATATGTATATAATTTGTATAAATATCTTAACGTTATAATAATGATTATTACAACAATTTTAGTTTTCTGTGTTATTATAAAATCAAGTTGTTTCATTTATCAATATAAAAATCAATTTTTGTTTATTACGAAAGAATACTACTCAAGCTTATTTAGAGGGAAAAAAATCAATGTAATAGTTTTAATAAACATTAAATAAGAAATAGTAAACACGTGCTTGTCAGATGAATCAAAATTGTAAAGGTTTCTATATATAATAATATTACGTTGAACCAACGTTAAAATGCAACGCCCGCCAACGTCGGATGTCGACGTTGAGCTAATGTTAGCCCAACGGTTGGCTGCGACATTGCGCCAACTTCCAAATCCACGTTGTGGCGATTAAAGTGCTATCTGGAAATGTTATTGTTAACTTGAAAAAATATTAGGATGTATTAAGATAAAGTTTTGTAGGTCACTACATTATGTTGCTTTATTTTAATTTCTCAGCATAACTTTTTTGCAATGTAGGTCTAGCCTCTTTTCTGATTTTTCTGCTATTTTCTAGTTTAAACATATTAAACTATGTATGGTACTTTGATTGATTGATTATTTGGTTTATTAGCCTTCGAATCCAATAAAATGTAAAATGTTTTAGTTTGTTATTCTTTTTAATGTTGTTAAGAAAGACAAAATGGCTGAACGTAGTACTGATCGTCCCAGGCCCCACTTTATTTGTAGGCAAAAAAGTTGCTGATTTTCGGATAAAAAATGGAACTAAAATACATTAGAACTGTTAGAAAAAATTAAAGAAAAATGCTCAGTAAAGCAGACCGAAACAATTATTGAGAGATAACAGCATGCAAATGAAAACTAAATACGTTTGTAAAATCAAAATGTCGAGGACGTGAACAATCATGATTTTTTTTTTGCACTCATTCCTAGAAAACAATAAAAATATTAACCAATAGACTTTTTTATTCATCAATTTATACTTTGCAAAAAGGTAGCAATAACTTTATTTTAAGGAATGATAAACTGTTTCGACAGGCGGTTTCTCAAACAGGTTTCGGAATACTTTTGTTTCGGAGACCTTTTTTTTTACATATGAATATATATATATATATATGTATATATATATATATATATATATATATATATATATATATATATATATATATATATATATATATATATATATATATATATATATATATATATATATATATATATAAATATATATATATATATATATATATATATATATATATATATATATATATTTATATATATATATATATACATATATATATATATATATATAGATATATATATATATATATATATATATATATATACATATATATATATATATATATATATATATATATATATATATATATATATATATATATATATATATATATATATATATATATATATATATATATATATATATATATATATATATATATATATACAAGAAAAAATCTTCTTTTGTAATTTTTAAATATATTCTTTTTATAGATTTGTTTTATTACTATTATTGTTTTATGACATTATACAGAGGTTGAAAATAGGAAAAAAAAGAAAAAAAAAGAAAGAAAAAAATTAACATTTTAAATACTTTAGATTATATTATTTAACATTATAAATTATATTAAAACATTATATTATAAAACTGTTATAGGTTCTATATAGAGGGCTTCGTTTTATTATTTTTTAACAATAACGTTTTCCGATGGTTTTAATAAATTTGGATGAATATATTTCAACAAATTTTATATCCTATGGCAACGATAATTATTTATTAATGATCAAATATTTTAAATAATAAACAGATGGTTATGATTAAATAAATTTTTTTGATTAAATACATATGCGCATAAATTTTATAGATAATTAACTATTGTTTAACAAATCTTTTTCTTTTGGAATTCATATAAAAAAGATACTTCCTATAAAAAGTTCAATATTTAATTTAAATTTTATTCATAAAGGTTTTTCAGTTATTTTTTAAACATCACGCTTTTTCTTAATCTTTTTAAAGTTTATTTTTTAAGTAAAGTAGTGCAACGTTTCGATAACTTTCATCCCTTCGAAAAGTCTGAAAACAGGATAGCTATTTGCAAACGAAAATCTACCAGTGCCAGGTATCATGATTATTTATTACAACATAAAATTTAATTATATTTTGCAGAGTGTTTTAGTTTGTAACCTTTTAAATATTACTAAAAGTTTATCAAACGGTTAATATGAATAAAAAAAACATAAAATAAATAAATTTATAAATTGATAAATATGAAACTGCGGCCAATTAGTTAGCACTGACATATGAGTTTAAAGAACTAAGGTCCAATGACCGTATTGGCCTTAAAAAAAAAAACAACTACAAAAAGGATGGAGCCTTTCATTAAAATCTTTATAGGTCTCCTTGAAGGTGCTTAATAGCTAAAAAAAAAGAAAAAAAAAAAAAAAAAAAGTGATTATTTATGACGTGGTAAAATACCTTTGAGAACCATACAGTGTTTTTTGGAGGTTAAAAATATGGTAATAAAAAGTAATTCTTTAAAAAAAATACTTCTTATTTGTTCATATTTATTGCAATTTTTTCTATAAATTTTTTTATTTTGCTAGGCTATCAGTTAGGATTACATTAGCGTTGCATAAAACTAACGCAACGTTAACTTTTGTCCAAAAATCATCCGAATTCCAGGTTGCACGTGTTTTCACACAGTCATGTAAGTAGAAACCATGTAAAAATAAGTATAAAATTTTAAAAGACCAATCAATATAGAAAGTTTTCTACAAGTGGTTTCTATTGTTACATTTTGTGCTTAATTTGTATTTCATTAATAAGAAAACAAAGATCATAAGTCTATATACTTTATCAAACTATTTTTTTATTTATGTCTTGATATTATACTCTTACATTCATAATATAATGTTAAATTGATATTTGCAGAAAAACTATTCCAAAAAATAGTCACTCCAATTATAAATAAACTCCTGAATAAAAACTTGTTATTAAAAATCTAAAAATCTATATGCGAAATAACTTTTTAAAATTAAAATTTGGTAAAAACCAGCATTAAACTCCAAAAATTATTTAAAAAAATTATCTAATATAACTAAAACCATCTAAAAACGTACTGTTTTAACCTTTTTGAAGAAAGTCGTCAAATACAGCTTATTAATACCTGAAAAACAAAAGTTAAAAATACTACTGTCATATCAATTTATTATACATATTCTATTTTCATTCAATTAGTAAATTTTAATTCAAATATCTACAAACACCATTTGTGCATAGCTTGTTGAACCGCCTAGCGTTTAATCCACAACAAAAAACCTAATTTTGTAATGGATCAAATAGCTGACCTTTACCTTAACTTAATCGTAAATCAACAGACTAACTTAGTCATTAACCAATATAATAACTCAACCTTAAACCAATAGATTTACTAAATACATCTACATCATAATTTATTCAAAATAAATAAAAAGGTTAATATTAAGAAAGGTCTCATCTTATTGCTATTTTCATAACAAATAGTATTTACCAAAACTAATAGAAATACATTATTTTTTTTATTTTGAATATCCTTTCTTTTTTACGAAGGCTACTTGAAAATTTTTTGAAAAAATATAAATATAACCCATGTCTAAAAAAATTGACTAACTATTATGAATAAAAAGAATTTCTGAAACTGATATATAAGCTAAATGAAAAAGGTTATCCAGAAATGAAACAATCATCATCATCATCAAAAATTGCTAGTGCATTTTTAAAAATAAAAACCTATAAAACTAAGAAGCTTTGCAAACCACGACGCTTGCAGTTCAAATTTTGCAAGTCATTGCATCTGTCGTACCTATTTTGAAATTCACAATACTTGTTTGGGATTTCATATCACTTGGATTTAAGTAGATAACCCAAACATCAAGGTTTATAATAATTTGATACCATGTATCAGATTATTATAACCGGATACAAGGTATCGGGAAAACAAACTATCGTATTGGGAAAACAAACTACAAAATGTTTTAGTTTTAGAACATGCAACATTAAAAAAGATTTTAATAAATATAATTTAGAGATATACACCAACATATGTATAAAAAAATAAAAATAAAATCATTGATATCTGTAAAAATAGAAAATTCTGTTAACACTTTACTTCAATCCTAGTATATTGTAACAGTGAATTTAAACAGTCTGTTTAAATATACTAATTGTAGTTTCTAAAATACTTTTTTGTAGATTTTTATACACAGTAGTACCAGTTTTTACATTCTTGGAAGTCTTTCAATTATAAAGCTGTTTTAATTAATAAAAAAATGTCAATAATAAAAATGTTTATCAATCTTATATCAACTTAATAATTATTTAATAATATGTAAACAAGTATAAAATTATCCTTTATAAAAATATTTAAAGAAGTTACAATACTAGTATACAAGAAAAAATGCGAAAAAAATGCAAATCTTTTGCATACATTTTTAAACTTTAATGAAAATATAACTTTGAAATGCATAATTAAAAAAGAAAGCATAGAAAAAAATGCAAACCAAAACTCTTAAAGTAAGAATATTAATTAATATAAACAATTATGAGAACTAATGACAAAAAGATAAAACTTCAAAGTTCAAAAATTTTCAAACAATTTATTTCCCCAGAGAGCCTGCTAATCTCAGCCAATAAAAATGAAAAAGAATATTTTGTTTGTTTAAATATCCTAATAACTTTATAAAGTAGAGTAAACATAAACTTACTTCATAAAATAATCTGATTGCATTTCTCTTTTAAACACGAATAACATTAATTTGTAATTGTAAAAATGTAATTAATAAATAAATATATTCAAAAAAATGTGATAATTTTTTTATCATTGCAGACAAATAAAGTTAAACGTTAAAACACCTAACAATTCTTGTTACACTATTATTTACAAATAATTTTCAATATAAATAATTTAAACATTTTTTTCTAAAACTAATCGTTTATACTTTCAAATTTATAAAAGGCTAAAAATTTTAGAGCATTTAAGATGTTTAAGAGTATGACACGTTTTTATTTATTTATTTTTTTGTAAAATTGCTTGTTAAATGAATGTCTAAATATTGCTATTGCTGCTTATATGTCATTTTAAAAGATTTTATCATATTTTCAAGCATAATTTTTGCCGCAATCGTTGTACCCATCATTTACCCAGTTCAAATCCCAGCCATAACTCAGTTCCAATAATCTAGTTACATCTCAGCTTGGACGCAGGTTGTCGTGGTTAACTGGGCAGTTTCTCATTTTTATTATTAATTACTTTTAAAAATAATTCGCAATATAAATTATTTAAATATTTTTTCAAATAAAACTTTATGCTACAAATTAAATTTTAAGTTATAATATTTATAATATAACTCAAAGTATAAATATTATTACGTTACAAAACATTGTATTACTATGTTTTGCAAAGTGATAATATTACTATTAGTAAGGTTTTACTAAGTCATTCTGCCATTTATAAAAATTTACTTATTATTTTTTGTTAGTCATTTATTGTTTAATTTTTTAGTTATTAATTATTTTTAAATAGTTATATCTAATTTTTTATAGTGTGATATAACTTTTGTTTTTATTTCCTTTTTAACTATTTATTATAAATGTTTTATTCTACCGTGTATTATTATTACTTTTTTTTATTTTTATTTTTATTTATTCATTTTTTTAATTTATGTTGTTTTCTTCTTGTTGTTGATGTGTTTTTTTTTTGTTTTTATTGCCAAAAGAACTTAACGTAATATTTTGTTTTGCTCGTAATGTTTGTTATAACTTTTGTTTTGTTTTGATTTTCGCAGAGTTTTTCTGTTTATATTTTAATTATTTACTTTTTCATATTATTTGTAATATGTTTCGGTTATTATATTATAAGAAAATTATATTTACTAAATCTTTATAATTTTTTTAGCAGTTTTTATGTCATCGTTAGTTGTTATGTTTTGTCAGTTTATTACTGTTTGTAACCGTAACTTTGTATGTATGAACGAATGTTGTATAAAAATTTATACCGATTTATTTAAATTATTTTAGTTACTATATTATTATTACTATTGTTAAAATAACATGTTATAATCATTATTATTATTACTTTTAAAATTGGTATTATTGTTGTTATAAATATTATATTTATTACTATTACCGTTATTATTTTAATCATTTTCATTAGGCGTTTACATGATATTAGTAGTTTGTACTATTTGTAAACAACCTTGAAATGTAATACCAAATATTTGAGAAATAAATACTGATTGATGTAAAAATTTTAGATATCATTTGTAAATGAATAAAATAAATGTAAGATTTAACATTTTCTATAAGTTATATATTTGATAATATATTACTTATACTATGAGAAATATATTAGTTATATTACTTCTAAGATATGTAAAATATTACATTTAATAAATGCATGATTTTAATTTTTTTCTTAAGTATTTAAAGCTTACATATTATGTATAAATACAAAAACCATTTATTAAATGATTTATGTGAAAATGAATAATATGTAAAGTTTACATACGGCAGTGTTACATAGTAAAACTTTTCTATGTTTGTAAAAAAATTTGAAAAAGTCATTTTACAAAACATAGCGAATTCAAAGGTTTTTCAAAAAGTCTATGAGATTTGTTTGAAAAAAAAATTGAAACTAAACACACTAAGCCAATACTGTAAGCACACTAAATCATATAAAACATTTTTAAAACTTTTTAATATCTGTTTATTGCATAATTACAGAATATGCTTTCAGTTCAATAAAAAACTTAAGAAATCTAAAAAAAAGTAAAAGTTAATATATCTCAAAGTTATTAACAGCGCAGAAATTCAGCCTGGATTTCAGTATAAAATTTAATTTCTCAAATTTTTTAAATGCAGGGTAAGTAAGAAATTTAAGAGCAAGTCTTTTTTCTTTTTTTTTTTAGTGTGTGAAATAGTTTTTTAAATGGATGACTAAGTATTGATTTTAACATATTTACACTTTTAATATAGAATTAACAATGATACGTAAATATTTTTTTACAAAGTTACTATAAAAAAACCAAACAAAGTTCCTTTGTATTTTTTTTCTAAATGCAAGTATATATTCAATTTAAATCAAGCCGCTTTACTGCATATGACATTTAAAAAGAGTTTTGTAATTTTATTTCAACAAAACTTTTTAATAAAAACGATGCTAAAAAAACTGCTTTAATTAGAAAATACACGCAACCATTAAAACACGCGTCCCATCTTTAAACCAGCCGGAAACCATTTACGGAAGTCGCATGCCAATCCCAGTAAAAACCCGGACTTTATTTGCAGCATTATTTTTACACCATATGGGACCCATATGGCACACAGAACAAATCCCAGCCCGAACCCAATCCAGTAATCCCATATGGGACCCAGTTTTTTAATTTAATTTCACAGGTTATGGTTTATTATTTTTTTAGGTCTTCATGAAGGATTTTTCTGATATAACTTTAAGTTTCCTTATTTATTTTTGAATTATGCAATTAAAGTTTTAGAATATAAAAACAAAAATCATCTATTTTAACATTGCTAATAATAAGCACAATAACGGTTTTACTTACAAAACTATTTTTACATCCGTGTTTACCAGGCTATGGGCAGTCAATGGTAATAAACTTACCTTGTCTGCAGCATATGGACGAGTATTGAACTGAAATAAGGTTTATATTTCTGAAAACAAAAACTGCTTATAGCAATATATAAGTCAAAGCTAACGTGATTTCAAACTAGGGAATTTTTTTCTCGATTCGTATCAATTTTTGAATTTTTTTTTTTTTTTTAATTTTATTATTATAATTTAAAGTTTCTAATAATTTTTTTTTTTTTAGAGTCTTTTGAAAAGCATATGAATCATTTCATTTAATTGAATACGTTTAAATTCTGGTAATTTATGAATTATGAATGACTTTTATTATTAAACTTTATCAGATTTTTCAAGTATTTTCCGTTGCAACTCTTTCCTCAATTCAAAACTGTGGAAACTCAAATTTAGTGTTACGTCACTTAACAAATGCATCATATATTTTGGGAGGTCTCTTTTCTACTCATGCTAAAGAGGGCAGATCTTATGTTCTTAACGAAGCGCCAATTCTGTTGGTATCATCGATGATTCTTGCAATTCAAGAAATAAATGAAGTCAACAATATATTGCCAGGAATTAATTTAGGTAAAACATTTTGATATATTTTGAATTAAATGATACGAGTATTTAAAATTTGATTCTACAAACATGCAATAAAAATTTCTTTATTTAAATTTAAGGATTTGAGATTCGTGATACAAGTCACGAGATTTTGTGCTCATGCAATCATGCCTTGGATTTCTTGTTGGATAAAAGACAAAACTCTGTTCTTATAGGAGTAGTAGGACCTGGTTCAAGTTTTTTAAGTGCAGCAGTAAGTACCATGTTGCTATCTGATTATATACCTCAAGCTTCGTATGCATCAACAAGTATATCATTATCAGACCGCACCGTATATCGCAATTTTTTCAGAACAATTTCTACTGATAACTATCAAGCAAATGCTATTATTGATTTGATTGATAAGTTTCAATGGACATATATATCGTTATTTACTTCTAATGACGAATATGGTCGTTTTGGTCGTGATGAAATTCTCAAAGCTGCAAAGGAAAAAAACATTTGTTTTTCTGTTGATCAAATGTTTGATCTAAATCTCTCTGATGATGAAGTTAATGTAATCTTGGAAAAGATTGAAAAAAATTCTCGCGTTGTAGTATTATGGAGCGAACCTCCATCTGGATCAATTATAATTTCAAAAAGTATAGCACGTGGTTTAAAAAATGTCACCTGGATAGGTAATAGTTTATATATATATATATATATATATATATATATATATATATATATATATATATATATATATATATATATAAACTTACTTCACTATTTTTTAAACAAATTTGTTTTATTATTCGTTTAAATCCAGTTTAAAGTTCAAGAATCGGTTAAATTTTTATTTTTATTTTGCAATAATTGTTATGCAATTAACTTCCTTGGAGTTAATGTTTGCAACTTAAGTGGGGTTTCCCAAATCTCACTACACCATTTAATTGAAAAAAAAAATTATTTTCCTCCATTCATATTTATTATTTTATAAGCAGAAAACCGACTTAAAAACAAATTTTGTTTAATTTTGAAAACAACATCTTTTAAATATCTTCCATTTTTCTCTTAACACTATATCAGTGCTCAATCTAGAAAAAGAAGCATCAGCCGTGCAATGTTTCGTCTCCCATTAAAAATTTTTTAATAAACTCAGATTCTAGCTTTGCAATTCATGGAAATGGGTAGCAAATGCTAATTGTGCATAAAAATCTGCTGGTACCAGTTTCTGCACTATCTGTTTCTTTTAGGGAAACTGTTTCAGAATTTCATTGAACTATCTGCAGCAAAATTTAGGATATTCTAAGCTGTTAGGACCGCTTTAAAGTTGATACTGGAGGATCTTCTTCAACGTTTTTTCAAACACGCTGAATATTGTCTTGTAGCCTTCCTTAGCATGGCCTCCTTCCAAATAGTAAATCCAGTGACGGAGGTGCAATACCGCAAAACATCTAACTTATATTATATATAAGTTAGGGGTAAATCGAAGTTAGGCAAAATAATTATGTTTCAGAGATGAGCTGCACGATAAGTGATGCAAAATTGATTGAATTTTGTTCGACAGAATGGCTCATTTAAATAGTTATTATTCCTCATGTTAAACTTGCTTAATGGTTTCAAAATAAAAAGATCTTTAAAAATTAATGGAGATAAATCATGCTTCCACATATAGACAAAAGATAAATTTTTATATACGTTTAGTTTATATTTATCTAGGATTTTCATTTGATTTAAAAATATTGAGGATTGTGCAAACCGATCCGCAGAATTGATTAAACGGATCGCATGTTTTTGACGGCGATAGAGACATTGTAACTTGCTTTGATGAGTACTATCCCAGGCATTAACTACATAAATTATATGACTGTGGATGAAAGAGTAGTAAAGTTTAGTTAAATTATTTTTATCTAAATGAGTACGCGTCTAATTTAAAAACTGTTTATGGTTAAGTTCATTACAAGGAACAAATTGTTTTCCGTTCGATAAATAACTTTGAAACAACTTAATTACTCTTTCCTTTATTCCGTAATAACTAAGTTTATAAAGCAAAATATCATGATCGACAGTATCAAATGCTTTTGAAAGATCGATAAAAATTCCTAATGTAAATTGAGATTTTTCAAAAGAATTGAAAATTTCACGCAGCAACTGAATAATTGGATGCTCAGTTGAGTTATTCTTTTTAAAGCCAAACTCTTTTTTGTATAATAAATTATTTAAAACAAAATAATAAATACTCTATTGAACATCATTCTTTCTAGTATTTTTGAAAATATAGATAATATAGAAATAGGCCGGTAGTTATTTATATTAGGTTTGTCACCACCTTTGAAAAGTGGAATGACTTTAGCAATTTTCAATTGATCAGGAGAGACTCCTTGTTCTATTAATGATTTAAAGACTTTAAAAAGGAATATATTTTATTTGTTCAAAACAATCTAAAATTATGTTACCATTGATTTCATCCGGCCTAAATGCTTTATTTTTTTTTTAGTGTTTTGAAGGCTTTTTCGAACTCGTTAAATAATAACTCTTTAGGTAACTTATCCGAGTGAATGCAATTATCCATCGGTACTAAGAAATCTTTTCAATAAGGCTTCTGTATTAGGAATTAATTTAGATAGTTTAGGACCAATTACAACAAAAAATTTATTGAATTCATCAGCTATTGTTTCAGAATTAATTATATTGTTATTATCCACTTTGATCATGTGTGGCAGAGAACCTGAGCATGATTTTTATTTACATCTTTTATTATTTCCCTTAAGTGTTTACAATTATTTTTTGCTTTATTGAGAATTTTAGAATAGTAATATTTTTTCGAATTTTTTCAAAAAGATTTTTGCAATCTTTGTATATTTTCTCGTTGGCGAGTGATTTGTTTTTTAGATATTTTATTTATAATTTCTGCTTAACTTTAGATGATTTTTTTAAACCTTTGGTAACCCAGGGAGAATTAATGCTTTTTTGATTTATTGTTTTTTCGTATAAAGGAAAATTAGCATCATAAACAGAGTAAAATGTATTAAAGAAATTATCGTAAATGTTGTTTGCATTATCAGTAAAGCCGATGTTCTTCCGATGGAGTAATGATAATTGTGTTTTAAATTGCTCAACGTTTTTTGAGTATAGCTACGTAATTTAAGTTTTATGTTTGTTTTTGTCATTATTTTAGAGTTGAAGTTAATGGTATAAAAGATAGGGAAATGATCAGATATGTCTGTTTTTAAGATACCTTTATTTATGTCACTGTTCAAAATATCAGTTGTTAGAATGTTATCAATTAGAGTAGCTGATTTTGGAGTTACTCTGGTAGGGCGATTTATTAAAGGAATGCCTCCCATTTCAAAAATAGAATTATAAAAACTTTTAATTTTAATGTCCGTAGAGTACTAGAAGCAATTCATACTAAAATCCCCTACAATATTTTTTTTTTCAAAGAAGCCTTTTTCGAAAAGGTTTTTCTCAAATTACATGTTCATGTTCTCAGTCACACCGTTCAGAGGCCTATTCATGATATTCATCTGAGCGCCAAACGTCCGCAATATTTTGTATCCGCCAAAATCTTTGACATTTTTTTGGCATTACAGCTCAAGTTGTTGCGTACCAAACTGCGAAAACAGAAAATTTAAATGCAGTAAATAATATTTTATAAAGTTTTCAAAAAAAAAGAAGAGCAATGGACGTTATGACGAGCGGTTTTAAAAAAAGACTTTAGTTTAGCCGAACTGTGAATTTTACACATGAACACTCGAGCTTCGAAGAAAAAGTGTTGATAAAAACCATGCTGACTTTTTTTCTTCGATTAAACACCTTTATATAAAAAGTTAAAAAAAAATTATTGTATATTATACATCAAATCGTTTAAACAAGAGATCTACCAAAAGTGCTCATTGAAGAAAATAATAATAACAGCTGATTGAAAGAATTTTTTTTAATTGTCAAAGAATCTGAGAAAACTGTGAAAATTATGAGAACTAAACAATGAAATCAAGAAACTAAAAAATTTAGTTTAAAACTTAATGAATACAGCAAAGTTCAGTTTAAAACTAAATGAAGACAGCTTAATTCAGTTTATAACTTTAAAAAAACACCAAGGTTCAGTTTAAAACTTTATGAAGACAGAAAACACTGCACTTCAACACGTAACGAAGACATCAAAGTTCAGTTTAAAATGAAATCAAGAAAGCAACGTTCAGTTTAAAACTTAATGAACATAGCAAAGATTAGTTTACAACTTAGTTGTAACATGTAAATTTACAGCTGTTCAAAACTTAATGATGACAGCAAAGCAACAATTGATGAAAGGGGAAAAATCGCATTTTTTAACTACAAAAATTAACTATCAATAAAAACAAAGCTTGAATAATCATATAGAAGAAGGAGCATATAAAAATTTAAAAAAGACACAAAAATTTTATTATAATAACAATTTATTTTGTTACCGTAAATTATGGTCACTTTGAACATTTTTTAGATATTTTTATATGCCCTTCTTTTACTACTGACAATATTTGAATTTTATTATTTTGCATATAAGAGCTATGACTTGCTCTTAAAAATCACAACTTTAAAATAATGTTTAAATCAAAGGATTAGGAATAATATTTATTTACTTAATCATTCAAAGTTACCTCGCAAATGGGGTTGCTTTGAATATTTTTTGCAATAAAAGCAAAATATTTTAATTGGTTTTAAAATTCAATAAAAACAACACTCTAGGTTTATACAAACTTAGTATTACTAAAAAAATAAAATATAATTTCATACAGAGCCCTGAAAAGTTTTTTTATTACAAAGTATTCTGGCTAACCTTTTTTTAAAAAGTATGTAAAATATTTAAATGATAATTAAATCAGATATAAAACTGAGAAAAAAATTAAAACTTTAAATAATCAAAAAAATATTTTTTATATTTTGATGGTTAAGGTTTAAACAAATTTATATAAATACTTTTAATATTTAGAGCCAAAACAAAAAATTGAAAAAAATGTCTTATGGATAACAACTTTGCAATAATAAATTTTTAGAAGGCAGTTTTAAAATCCAACTTAATTAATATTTTATTTTTTTAAGTGCTGAAATTATTTAAATTCATCTTTATTGATGTAGTCTTTATTTAAAAAATATTTCTATGTTATTTTTATATTTGAAAATATTTTATTCAAAAGTTGTTTAAGTTCTTGACTTTAACAGTTCTCGTTCTTTTTTGTAAAAGTTTCTTACTTTATTTTAATTAGAACAATTAAGACTCTATATTGTGAACATTGTTCACAATATAGAGTCTATATTGTGAACATTCACAATATAGACTCTATATTGTGAACATTCCACCCTATGTGCACCCCTGCACAAAGGGTGGAAGATCCAAGATCATCAGACGACGAAAATTACTAGAAGTGCTTTATTATTCTTATTATTATTATTATTATTTTTGAGGTGGTAGGGTTTGGGCCATCTAGTAAATTTTTAATGATCTACCCTGTACATCAAGAAGACTCTGTGCGCCCCTGACTTTGTTATTATTCTTTTTATTGTTATTTTTATAATCTTAATAACAACAGTTTTTTTTTAATATTGTATTTATTATTTAAAATTTCTTATAGTATATCCTTAAATGTAAGAATTATAATCTAAAATATATTATTGATTAATTTTCAGATATTCAAAATTATAGTTTTGCATGTAATAA